GCTGATGTATTCTGGGTAGCAGCCTGGTATTTCTGGGCAGCATTGCCAAGTTGTCCAACCTGCATTATGTTCCAGACCAATTAACAAAAGCACACAAAATTGATGCTTTCAATTGCATTGCACCTGTAAGACTGTATGCTTCCATGAAACTTTTGCAAATGAAAAATAAAAAATAAAGCAAATTTATGTTTCAAAATAACCTGAGGAATTAATAATCTTCTAGGAATAAGCTCTTCATGGCGTCGAGCACAAAACTCCCAAGAGCATATCTGATGACATAATCCGTACACAAAAAGTTAAGCAGAAGGTCTTGAAAACTAAAAAACAAAAAGTATTTTGCTAGCCTATAGTATATATTTGTTGTGAACCTTAAGATCAGGCGAGAATACAATCCGAAGCTGACCATCACGAACCACACGGAGTTGCTCAAAGACACTCTCCTGTATCGCTTTTGCATAGTCCAAAACAATTTGACCAGAGGAGTTCTGGTATTCTCGTGGCATATCAACATAGAGCAACTCTTCTATAGTACCACTTTCATATTTTATTTTGAAGAGTCTGGGCAAAACCTCAACAGTTGCCTCTACAAGGACACAAAATTATGGTCAAGTGCTTTCTCTTTCTTTCTCCTTCCATTGTTAAATTAGGGCTTGCTTGTATACAAAATAATTTACTCACTTTTATTTCAACTCAAAATCTAACTCAACTTTAACTCAACCCTACTATTTTCACTATTCATCCACTCACATAATTTTAACTACCTTTCATTTCCAATCATTTATCTCTTACTTTTACATCAAATCAATTTTAATCATTTAATTTTAAATATTACTTTAATACATTCTTAAAATCCCACTACAACTAACCATACCACCTTTTTCAAAATTAATTATGGTTAACCAAAATAACTCAATTTGAACAAATTATTTCATAAATCATCAAGCCCTTACTATTTATATGGCGGGAAAGTGAGGCAAGGATGGTGGATGTTAATAACTGAATTCTTTAGAGGGTATCCTAAAATTAACACCCCAAACACGGAAGTTGATAGCATTAAATAGTCACGCAAAAAGCTAGGAAAACACCCGGCAGGCAAGTAACCAAAAAGAGGAAATGAAATGACAGATAATGTTGAATAACAGAAAGAAACACACCAAACCCACGACCAGGCTTGCGGTTGCAAATTTCACAATGCCAAACATCCTGCATATAAACATTGAAACAGACAAATTTACATAGATCTGTAAAAACATTAATAAGTGAAAAATAAATCTTAACTTGTTTTCGACAATGGAGATGCACCTTTGAAGCATTATAAAACTTTTCTATACTTAAACATGAAACAATATGGTTAAATCAAAACAATCTGGTGTATATAGCTCAACTGACCTGAGGGAAAACTCCAGTAGTTTGGCGACCACTTCCATACATCGAAACACACCATTTCTTCTTTGCATTGGGCGCAAAATACTCAGCAACAAATTTTCTCCAGAACTCGATATTGTTGTCCTGCAGAATAAACAATACAATTGCATTGATTAGCAACTAGCAAGCCATGACATTCACACAGGACATCACATTCTACTCATCATTTTTGTACTGCCATAACAGAAAAGCAACTCACTTCAGGTCTGTGTTGTTGTTGATACATGTAATGCGTCAGCCTTCGTGCACACATCCCGGGCTCGTAAACAGGTTTCACGGGGGACCTAATTGACATGTTCTGCTGTTGAAACTGCT